CATTTGGCGGCTCTATTCAGAGTCATTGGCGGCTCCATGCGGAGGCATTGGCGGCTCCATGCGGAGTCATTCGGCGGCTCCATGCGGAGTAATTGGCAGCTCCATGCGGAGTAATTCGGCGGCTCCATGCGGAGTCATTCGCTGGCTCCATGCGGAGTCAATTGCCGGCTCCATGCGGAGTCATTCGCCGGCTCCATGCGGAGTCATTCGCCGGCTCCATGCGGAGTCATTTGCCGGCTCCATGCGGAGTCATTCGCCTGCTCCATGCGGAGTCATTTGCCGGCTCCATGCGGAGTCATTTGCCGGCTCCATGCGGAGTCATTTGCCGGCTCCATGCGGAGTCATTCGCCTGCTCCAAGCGGAGTCATTTGCTGGCTCAGCTGCGAGCCATTATACCAGTTGCTCGAATCGGCACTCCCAGCTTAATGCAAAACTCGGTTGCTCTGTTGTGAGGTGGGGGGATGCTAACAGCTGGTAACTTGGCCAGACACTACATATGCCAAGTATGACATCTTCGCAGCATGGCCCCAGACGTGCCAAGTTGCAGGTCAGTGCAGAAGAGACTACAACTACTGATCCCACTTCCTCAGTGACCAGCCGCAGCTACGGCATTAGTGGATTAGTGAAAGCTACCAGATCACCCATGATGGCTGCTTCAAGCACCCGTGCATGGAAGGCTGATGAGGCCGCTCCAGGTCCCTTGTGAGCACGAAATGCCCAAAAACTAAAGCCATCTCTCCCAGGGTCAGCAGCTTTACCGCTGGTAACTTGGCCAGACAGTACATATGCAAAGTATGACATCTTCACAGCATGGCCCCAGACGTGCCAAGTCGCAGGTCAGTACAGAAGAGACAAGCACCACCAATCGCAGATCCTCAGTGACCAGCCGCAGCTACGACATTAGTGGATTAGTGAAAGCTACCAGATCACCCATGATGGCTGCTTCAAGCACCCGTGCATGGAAGGCTGATGAGGCCGCTCCAGGTCCCTTGTGAGCACGAAATGCACCACAACTAAAGCCATCTCTTCCAGGGTCAGCAGCTTTACAGCTGGTAACTTGGCCAGACACTACATATGCCAAGTATGACATCTTCGCAGCATGGCCCCAGACGTGCCAAGTTGCAGGTCAGTGCAGAAGAGACTACAACTACTGATCCCACTTCCTCAGTGACCAGCCGCAGCTACGGCATTAGTGGATTAGTGAAAGCTACCAGATCACCCATGATGGCTGCTTCAAGCACCCGTGCATGGAAGGCTGATGAGGCCGCTCCAGGTCCCTTGTGAGCACGAAATGCCCAAAAACTAAAGCCATCTCTCCCAGGGTCAGCAGCTTTACCGCTGGTAACTTGGCCAGACAGTACATATGCAAAGTATGACATCTTCACAGCATGGCCCCAGACGTGCCAAGTCGCAGGTCAGTACAGAAGAGACAAGCACCACCAATCGCAGATCCTCAGTGACCAGCCGCAGCTACGACATTAGTGGATTAGTGAAAGCTACCAGATCACCCATGATGGCTGCTTTAAACACCCGTGCATGGAAGGCTGCTGAGGCCGCTCCAGGTCCCTTGTGAGCACGAAATGCACCACAACTAAAGCCATCTCTTCTAGGGTCGTCAGTTGTCAGCTGAGATAATGTAGGTAGGTCCTTGAACGTAACATGATCTACAAAGTTAGTCTCAGTTCTCATCACTCGGATGTTGAGCCAATAGTAATGTGTAAAGAGAAAAGGATCTATAAGTTACTAGTTATGACTAACAGTCCACCAAGGTAACGAGATAATATACAGTCAGATAGTGCCACAACAAGGCACAACACTGACAAGGATATTGAGACATTCGACGACCTGACACTTAGTTCCAACACATGTACGAAGCGCAAACCACCAACCTTCCAAATAGGAAGGCTCAGGTGCGGAAGGTGCCAATGAGGGGAAGGGGATGCACCACATGTTGGAGCTAGGTGTCAGGTCGTCGAATGTCTCAATATCCTTGTCAGTTTTGTGCCTTGTTGTCACACTATCTGACTGTATATAGGGCTTCGAAGTGATGACGCCACACATACTTGACAATGCATGCCAACGAGATTTTTGGGTACAAGCAAACTTCCCCTATTGTTTTAGAAGTAATAATTATGCGCTGATATAATTAAAATAGAAGAAATCACATGGAAACGAGTTATGAAGCAACTATCCACGACTGTAACAAGATAATAAGCGGTCAGAAAATGCGGTAACAGGGCACAAAACTGACATGCTACTGTGACATTCAACGACCTGAGACCTAGCTCTCACACACCTGCAGTGCGCAAACCAACAGCCTGTTATCGCACTTTCTGACGGCTCATTTTGTTACAGTCGTGATAGTTGCTTCATAACTAGTTTCCATGTGATTTCTTCTATTTTAATTACATTTATTGGCTCAGTATCCAAGTTAAGTTTGCACACCTGATGAGCCGTCACGAACAATACGGCGAAACGTACGTTGTGTGAAACTACTTGCTATCGTAGTCAACTCGTCCACAATACTGTCATGCACGAGGAGTACCGTTAGATATTGGCGTCCAATAATAATAATAATCATAATCATAATTGCAATTTCAAATTTGGACTTCACGGAGAATTTCAAGTTTTTAGGAAATTAGAGGCCACATTGTATTTGCTTGCAGTGGACATAGTTTGATGCGCTCCCCATGATATCAAGCGAATGGCCGATGGCCCTCTTGATTGGTGTGAGTTGCCAGTATGATGCAAGCCAGATGTGGATTGATCGAAGAAGGATAGATTTACCATCACTGTGGATAAGAGTCATACTGTAGCTCAGTTGGTTAGAGCATTGCTCGCGAATAGCAAGGTCCCTGGTTCGAGTCCCGGTGGTGTGACTGATGATTTTTTCTTTCTTTCATATCTGGCTTGCAAGTGTTGAGTTTCGGAGAGAAAAGAGCAGTACGTGGCATGTGGCCTCTAATTTCCTAATACTGTAAAACATGTAATTTTAGGTGCATTAAAATTTTGGTGCCAGGGACCTGCCAGGTTTCAGGTGTAATTTAGAATTAGGTGACCAGCGATCCCTTCACATACAGTGCATACGCCAGTGCCTTTTATGTGTAATTTAAATTTAGGTGCCTGGTTTCTCTACCGAAATCACCGAAATTAAAGTTACACCGAAAATTACATGATTTACAGTAATTTGAAACTCGGATGTGGAGCCATAAATAAATATGGAAGAGAAAAAGACATATGGATACGAGTTAAGAGTAACTCTCCATCACTGTAACATGATACTATATACAGTCAGAAAGTGCAATAACTAGGCACAAAACTGACAGAGTACTGAAACATTCGACGTCCTGACACCTAGCTTCAACACATCTCCGTAGCGCTAACCGACAGCCTTCCAACTTGGAAGGTTCAAGGTTATGGAAAGACCAAAGAGAGGAAGGTAAGCGCAACGAAAACGAGCAAAAGCTACAGTCCCAACGGAACAAAGAATGTCGATTGTTACTGGACGATGACGAGACCAGTACGATATTTGACAAAGAGGTCTAACTACAATTCGAAGCAGCAAAGCAGCACACCACCCAACTTGGGTGGGTCATAAATATCAAAGATAAATAAATAAAGGGAAGCTTTGCGAAAACGAATTGTACAAGCCGAAAGCCAAACTCCTACAGTACTCCTCATGCATGACATTGTGATGGACTAGTTGACTACAAAACAAGTTGTTTCACACGACGCTTTGCACTTTCTGACTGTATATAGTATCATGTTACAGTGATGGAGAGTTACTCTTAACTCGTATCCATATGTCTTTTTCTCTTCCATATTTACAGTAATCATAATAATAATACTTTGGTCGAGTGCTGATGGGGGATAATAACAGTTACAATGATGAACAGTTACTCTAAACTTGTATCCATATTTTCCTTTCCTTTCTACATTCTGTTGGGAATGGACTTATACTGTTAGGAATGGAGGTAACTCCACTAGAATGATCTAGCAGCATGTTGAACGTCTCTATGCCTCTAAGAGCTCTCATAACCTTTATTCCAATTTTACACCTCTAAATGCTGGCTCGATCAAGTACGAAGAAAAAGGACAAGGAGTGGTAGTGGCTTACAATAGAGAAAGGTTCAGGATATGAACTACGACAGACAGCAACTTTGAAATCTCTAAAGCAATCAGTGCCCAATGCTGTAGGCAGCAAGCTGTTTCGGCCATAAATGCCTCATCAGTGCAGCTACGAGCTTTAAGCCGAGTTGCCAACCATGGTAAAGAAGAAAAAAAATATTCTACGCAGCCTCTTTTGCAATACATAATGGCATAGTATGCAGCCACCGTTTTTCTTTACTCTTATTTCATGCACTTACGGTTTTCTTCATTCAGCTCTATTTCACGCACTTACCTAGGGTACCCTGTAAAAAGACTGACAGTCTGTGGGGATTCCCCTAATAAAATACTACTACTCCTACCAAGAGTGCATAAACAAGAGTATGCAACTGTGGTTATGGGACAGTGCGCGGCGCGCTGCCTTCATTACGTAACTTTACGAGTCCATTCGTTTTTGCTCGAATCGTTCCAGTACCTACGGAATCTCTCAATTTTGGCACGTGAACTCCAAGTACGAAAGTTCAAATGATGTAATGAAGGCAGCGCGCCGCGCATCTGGCCCATAGAATAGAGATCACAGTTGCATACTCTTGTTTACGGACTCTTGGTACTACTACTAAAGCAATGGGTGGATATGCAGTAGTGTCTTGTATTAAAGCCTATCTCATAGAAGTCTATTTGGAATAGAAGCCTGATTTTAGTGTTGACACACATAGAAATACCTGGTTTGAATAGAAGCCTGATGTGAATATAAGCCTAGCTCTGACATCAGCTTCTACAGGAATAAGCCTGGCTTTAATACGCGGCGTTAAGGTTATCATGGTACTGATTTATATTGTCCAAAGCGGATGCTAAGGTAGGTAAAACGCTGAAGAATAAGTTGACCGACTAACCTGTACATGGGTATCTCCTGATAATGTCATAGAAGACCAACTGCAATCAACTGCTCGAAAGTTGATTGCAGTTGGAGTTGCAGGCATCTGCTCACTTCGTTCCTGAATTGACTCTGTCACATGAGTTCTGGTATTTTACAGAGAAAATAACAATAAATCACAGTAAGAAGACAGAAGAAAATTCAATGTCATTTTACTGGACGATCGGTAGAGGTAAATATGTGTGTTAGGTATCTCCTCCGGTACAATCTACAACCTTTCCCAAGCTGGCCTGCATGCACCCGTACTCACCTTTTGTTCCGTTGGCCTGGGTAGCTACTTGCGCGCCCATATTTGCCATAGCTACCCAGGCCCTTTATCTTGCATTCTCTCCCACCCAATCTCATAGTTGTTGTAGTTCGTCTTTCTCTCCGTCTAGAATAAAAAGTCTTTCCACCTACCCGTGCCCGTTGTCCATTGTGTCTGGCATAAGGAGAAAGTTACTCAACATAATGTAATGCAATGTTACAGGCATATGGACTTGCTCATGGTTATGGCTACTCAAATTTCCTGATAAATGGATCTGTCCCTTACAAGGTTTCTGCCAGCAAGCAAGTACATGTATTTCTCCAATATTCCTGGAGAAAGGTTCAGCAAGGACAATGGTGTTAACAGTAACAGCTATAGGTCACATCACCAGCTCTGATAGCAAACACAACCGCTCTTGGTAAAAAGTAACAGGGTACGTGCCACACAAGATACATTTCTCGTTTTCTCTGCTCCCGCTTGCACTCCGTACATGGATCATCATGACAACCGACCAAAAACTCCCGACGTGGACATAGACGCAGTGATTTGTACCCTAGTGTGATGTTGATCGTTTGTATATGAAACTCAGTCACAGCAATGCAGTTTTATTTCTCTTTGTCAGACTACGTGACCCTTACATTATGTACATTGGTGATGACCGTGGAATGAGTTTAATTCTACCTCCCAAACAAACTGAATTTTATGTTATGCATAAATCTTTTAACCTTAATTAAACTTACACTGAATGGACATGGGATGTCGGCATCGGTGACAGGTCTGAGACTGACGGCAAGACCTTCAGCATAGTTAACAAAGGAAATACATGAACCTTGAAAACATAGCATACTATTGTCCTGTTATCTTGACAAATTTATGGAGCAGGAAGATTTTGGATTTCGTATTTAAATAGCCAGTCACAAACAAGCTACACAGGGTAGAGACGACACTGCTCAGTTTCGGCAATACTTGTTACTTTGGTGCGGTGGTAAGAAGATACAACAACAGTGTTGTAGATGTATCTCATGTGCTGTTCCATGTCTGTCCCCCGTCCAATTATTCCAATGAAACTCATAGCCCCCCCCCCCCTCAATTGCACCCTACTGGATAGGAATTTTGTGGACAATGTTGCTGACAGCGCCACTTCATTCTTATAGAAGCACAGGAGGAGGTGAAACTCCCAGAACGTGTAGTGTTCCTGGAGTCAAACGGTCTTGGTCGGAGAGGGCAGCAATACAGTTCCTTTATTCCCAATCCACATGGTTCCACACTCACTGCTGCGTACGCCAGTTATCTGGTCACGGGGGGGGGGGGGGGGGAGGGCAGTGCAGTGAACCATGCAGGTAACAACCTGCAGTACCTGGGATTCAAGTGGAGTGACACAGCATTCCATAAAGAGTCTCACAGCCCCCTCTTTTAGTGTGAAGTCCTTTGCTTTCTATGTTTATGGTACCATTAGTTCCACAGCATCTTTTGTTTTGCCCATGTGCAGAGGAGGCACATCTCTCCACTGACTCCCTGACTGGTGTACTATTCAGTATGGGACCGCATACGGTTGGGCCGGGCCCGTTTTGGTATGGGAATAAGGGCTGAATGCCTCTCCAGACCAAGATCGTTCGACTCTAGGACAAGAAAACTCCAGGGTTTGGGGATTTCACTTCCATCCGTGCTTCTAAAGAACGAACCGGCACTTTCAGCAACATTTTCCACACAAATCCCTTTCTAGTCACCATTTGCCTACCTTCGGGCGACGTGCTAGAGTTAAACTGGGAATAGGACAAGGGAGAGTCTCAGCTTCCTCGGACCGAGACCATTCCACTCGGCACCCAAATAAGTAGTGTAGTGCAATTTTGCTTTTAGAGACATCTTTTCCCTTTATTAAAATGGTATGGAAGTTATTATGTTGGTTGCAGGTCAGTACACAAAGAAAAGTGGTCTTTTCCGCTCTACAACTGTTTTCGAGACACATTGTGACTGTGAGTGTTGGAAGCCAGTCACAGGGAAAAGGGAACACACCCAACAACGTAAAGTGGCACCCAATGTGGTGTGACCTCACAACCCAGAGATTTTATGAATACTCAATATACATGATAGTCCTTACCGAAGTAGGCGAAAGGAGAACTTCTGCTTCTGGGCCCATGCCCATTAACACTGTTTCCGTGAGGTGCTGTTTTTCTTTTTCAGTGGGTGCCCTGCGGAAGAGAAAACAGCAGGTGTTTATTGCTAGTGGCTCAGGACCTACTTACTGCAAGATGTGGCACCGTTGGGTGCGGTGAACATAACTATATGGTCGCTTACCCTGATGAATGTAAATATTACATGTACATATTACTCTTCTGAATACCACCGCTTCAGTCACACTACTGCAAAAAATGCTTGCGCTATACAAAATAGAATTAAAAAGAAAGGATTACATCCGTAGTTGGCAACAATGGCATTATAAGCAAGATATTGAAAGCCAGTACCACATCAGTCATTATTGTGCTAACTGTTGCACATTGCGACCCACCAATATCTTGCTTATAATTGTTGTAAATGTTGAATAACTACGATAAACATGTAGAATTTTGCGCCTTTTTCATTTTAATCCTTGGTTCTCCATTTGAGTTCCAAACAAAATAGGTCGAGTTATAAAACAATATTCTTTCTTGCTAGGGGGAAGAGGCGGAGAAAGCACTCCGACGACCTTGAAGTTGCTTCTTAAAAACTTTAAATACAAGTGTTGTTATGTCGGGAGATCTGCAGGAACGTGTGCAGTTGAGGACTCACCGCAACGGAGAAGCTTTACGCTTCATACCACTTTTTCGAGTTGTAGCATGGAAGAGACCTCGACTTTGTCTCTCTGGCATCTTCCGAGAAGGGATGGCTTGCCCAACTGGAAAACCTTCTGAATCGCCTGCCTCAGCAGCAGGGCCAGCTGAAATAATGGAATTTGCTTGCCGCAGCAAGCCCAGTACATTATCTATAATGAACGGGCTAAATGCTGGAGTCTCTGATATTGCTGTGGCAAGCTCGCGAATCTCCATATCCTTGGCAGGTGCACTTCCTGCAGCACGCATGTATGCATGCGTGCGTGAAGACAGGGCAAATAGATAAATCAGACATACAACATGGCTGGCATCAGTTTGAACATAGCAGGGTATGGATTGAGGTACTCTGCTTTCACCAGAGTCAGATTTTTCCTGCTTTTAAATCAAGCCTGACCAGAATAGCTTCTAATCGCCTACCTCAGGTCCTCCCTGTGTATAAATGAAGGCAAGAAAGTGAAATCTGACTTGCAGGTACAGTGCTAAGAGGAACACGTTCTCCACGTTTGTGGGCAAGTACGAAATGCTACCAACACAATATTATTCATGTTTCATAATCTTGTCCATACCCTTTGACAAGCCAAAAACACAAGCACAAAAGCAACAAAAACAACAAGGGATCAAGGCATTTTATTCTCGCAACTCCGAGCTTGCCGCGCGGTGTGCAATCTTCAGGTAAGTATCATTTATGCACGTTTCTCCATATCTTGGAAAACAGTCTCACAATAATACTGATCAACAATATCGAATTTAAAACTCACTGGCTTCATGCCGGACAGGCTGCTGCAGGACTTCTATTGACGGCTCTGGTGGATTGCCAATATCGTCCATTGTGTTTGGTTCAACATCACAACGTTCGTTAGGAAATGCTATGCTGAACACCCTGTGTGCATGTTTGCATAGACTCCCAGAGAGGTAATCCGCACACGTACACGTGACAGAATGTCTACACCCTCCACAAAGGCTACACGTCGTAGTGCAGTTTTCATGAGGTACACTCTGGACGACAACAGTGTGCTGCCAGCCTGGCTCTGACTGTGAGGCAACCTGATACTTGCCCTGAACATCGGTTTCCTGAAATGAGCAAAATAGACGATACAATGTCTACTAGTATTAGCGACTTCGGCGATGATTACATAGAAAAGGTGTTCACTCCTCACACCGGAGCTCGCGCTTTTTCGCCAACTTGACTGACTCACGACCGCCATCTTGAGCACATGAGAAACCCATCGAACCTTCGACTCGGAAAACCTGCAAGAAAGCATCACTCCCTGCTTATTGCACAGTGTTTTGGGGAATTCACCCCTCATCAGGTGAGCTTGAGTAGGCTGAGGAAAACGGTATCTGGAGAGTACCACTTATATAATGCTCTCCAGGCCAAACCATCACCAGGTATACAAACTTACAAAGGCACTCCCATTTCCAGCATGACAAATACCTTGAGATCACCAGATAGCAGCGAGAGTCAGTGTCGCCCCTGGACAGTGCCGAGTCCAAACTTCGATGGACTTCTTTTCTGCTCTGGATGGCATTCATGAGTCAGTTAAGTCGGCGGGAAAGCGGGAGCTCTGGTGTGGGGAGCGAACGCCTTTTCTACAGCGTCCATTCACATTTAAAGCACTTTTGCCCCACACTGGGTTTCCAAGAGAAGGATTATTTGCAAACAAGCTGTTAAAATGACTTTCAAGTGGTGGGAATACTCACAGACTACATTCAGCAGAAGCATACTGTGGAGGAATAGTAGCAACTAAGACTAACGTCACATGGAGCAGGGATGGTATGTACTATTATTGTGTAGTATGTTTCTTCACCTGCAAAGATAAATATAGGCTTTCAATGCTAGTGAACTCTCACCTCTATATGCGAGTTAACAATCTTGGAGCCATTCTCATGTCGCGCTGCCATCTTTCTCTGATAGCGTCCAATTTTAATCCCATGCTTTAGACGCTGTCCGTCGATGAATTCGTCCATTTCTAACTCCATGAGTTTTGTGATGAGAGATTCGATGCGGCGGTTCTGCAAACCGCTTAGGAACTGTGGATGGTGCTTCAATTTACTGTGGAAGCTATTGGCAGAAGGGTGTTGGATTAAAAAGAAGCAAATAATGGTAGCCATTTCATAACTTAATTGATCGAGTCACTACACAATTCTATGTGCACACTTCTTCCCACTTCTTCTTTATTGCCATGTTACGACTACTGTCTCTTCGTCGATTATTTGAATGTTGTATTATTATTATTATTATTATTAAAAGTAGAAAGGAAAAGGACATATGGAAACGAGTTAAGAGTAACTCTCCACCACTGTAACTAGATACTATATACAGTCAGAAAGTGCAACAACTAGGCACAACACTGACAGAGTACTGAGACATTCGACGCCCTGACACCTAGCTTGAACACTTTGAAGCTCTCTTTGGTCTTTCCATAACCTTGAACCTTCCAAGTTGGAAGGCTGTCGGTTAGCGCTCTTTTGTCTTTCCATAACCTTGAACCTTCCAAGTTGGAAGGCTGTCGGTTAGCGCTACGGAGATGTGTTGAAGCTAGGTGTCAGGACGTCGAATGTCTCAGTACTCTGTCAGTTTTGTGCCTAGTTGTTGCACTTTCTGACTGTATATAGTATCTAGTTACAGTGGTGGAGAGTTACTCTTAACTTGTTTCCATATGTCCTTTTCCTTTCTACTTTTATTATTGGCTCAATACCCGAGTTTCAAATTATTATTATTATTATTATTATTATTTTCACTAGTTTGAGGGAAAGTGACAAACGGGAAAAGTCTGAAGAAAAAATCGACCGTCACCACCAGGACTCGAGCCAGGGACCCTCGCTTGTAGCTAGCGATGCTCTAACCACTGAGCTATGGTGTAGTCGTCATCCCAGCAGAGACAGTTCAACATTTTCTTCAGACTTCGTAACTCACACTTCCTGTGAATCCACACAGGCGGGTGGGACGCAGCCCTCACTGTACCCACACACTTCACGTACACTCTAGCACGCGGGGAACCCCAAGTCATAAAATCTGCACAATGAAAAAGTGAGGGTGCATACATTGACTTGGGGTGTGCAGTATCAATTAAAAACTCGTTAAGTCTTGCTAATTAGCTTTCGAAGATCTCTTATACCACCAAACTCACCCTTCGACGATGTTGTTTGTGTTGACATTGCAGTGATCAAACTGACGGTGACAATAGGCCCAGCTTTCTGCAGACAAACAACATCAGTATAGGCAGTGACTGAGGGGTTTTCAAGACAGATTTAAGTTCTCTTCACTTAGTCAAATGTTCCAAAAAATATGAACGGAGAGCTCTGCACTTGCGGGCGTGCATGCATGTACCACACGGAGAAGCAAGCAAAACAAGACCTAATTTTATTTTTATTTTGAAATAAGCTGCAAGCACTTGAACACAAGGCCAACGGAACAGCTTACATGATGGAAATGCAGAGTTGAATAAGCTGCAAGTATGCATGATTCACCCCCCCCCCCTCTTCCCACCACTACCACCACCACTACCACCACCAGCAACCGGCACCAGCACCACCAGCACCACCACTATCACCACCAGCACCAACACCAGCACCACCAGCACCACCAGCACCACCACCAATTATATTATCAAGTGGCGGAGAAAAAGAAGAGACATAAGTGTACAAAGAGGAAAGTATAAATACTTGATTGTGTGTGAACATGCAGTGCTCACTTGAGTGAATAATTGCCCGCAACAAGGCAACTGGTGGAGACCACATTACAACACAAACTATCATAATTGCCCGCAACAAGGCAACTGGCAGAGACCACATTGCAACACAAACTATCAATGTACGGATTTACCTTTCTTTGGCAGAAGGTGGTCCGTGAAGTACTTCAGAAAATCTTCCGACGTTTCCTCCAGATACTGAAGGAAGCCTTTGCACTCCATATCAAACTTGTCCTTATCTTTCTCCAAGAGGAGAACAAAAAAAGATGAGTAGACAGCCTGGGCCGTTTCCTTCTGTTGACGAAATTTGTGCTGGATCTGGCGCAGCACGCTTCTGAAGTTTAGGTAGGCAAAACAAATAATATGAGAGAAATAAATGACACAATTTACAAAACATTTTCATCCTGCTCACAGGGACACATACTACTACCCTATTGCTCTGTCACACCAAAGCTTTGCTGTTCTATTTCTTCTAATTTCTTGTACTGGTACATCAAACACCCTGAGAACAGCAACTTGCTGCGGCAGAAATGTGAGTGATCAATAAAAGAAAAAGAGAGCTTTTACTCAGGGCCTCAATATGCTGGCACATGACCTACGCCTATTTGTCCCCCCCCCCCCCCCCTTCGATGTGATGTCACTGTAATCTATTCATAGTTTTTGAGGGTTTTAGTTGGAGCACCGTGGCTCATGACCCGTCACTATGGATGCTACACAGGAGCGTAGCTGGTCCCCCTCTTATGGGGGGGGGGGGGGGGGGGTGCACGGCAGCTGTATCATGCGTGTATCCTAGGATGGCTGGTGCATGTCATCATGGTCATTATGTGCACGCTGAACCTAGGTCGAAATGTTCAGGGGGTGGGGGGTGCACGTGCCACTCATGCGGGCTTAAAGTTTAACAATTTGCACACTTTCCCCACTTGGCGGGCACAACAAGTTTAACGGCCCTGCCAACCCACACCGTCTTTTATTTCTCTAGTACAAAAGAGAGTAACGGTCAAAGATACATTCAAGGAAATTTTTAATGCTGAAGCTATCATCTACTGGCAAGTTTTTCTACCTGAAATACGAAAGGCAACCATGCCAAAATAGTCCCCTCGGAAGCACGTCATGAGTGGGCAGTGTATAATGTTGAGAAGGCTAGCTTTGCAGCCTGTCCCCTCCCCAATTCCTAATAACATCTCCACCACATAATGCATGTATTCGAAACTGATTCCATGTAGCAATGTCTAGATTGCCAGTGGTATTCTGGTTGTATTTCAAGCAGTGCTTTCACTAAACACTTATATCCGAAGCAGATTCTGAGGACTATTCACAACAAACCCACAGATTCTGCATCATGCTTGAGTCTGTCAGTGCAAGTGGTCCTGTAAACACTAAACATCAAAGGCAATGGTGCAACATCATAACTGATCCATAGACCCAATAGTGAAAGGAACTCTCAGATAGAACCTACCTTAATATGTGCCAAGTGCAAAGCAGGTGGCGGATATCTGCGCCAAAAACTTTCCTTGCAGCCGCTGCACCTGCCAGATCTAAACATCACAAACCCACACACAAAGGTGGTTCTTAAAACACAACCAACTTATCACGGCATAGCGTTTCAGTCCAAAAACATGAACGCCACAAACTAAGATCGCTATGAATAAACTTATTATAACAAAGTGATACTGGCGCTCATGTAAAAAAAAAAAGGAGCACATATTTGGTTCCAAAAAGTTCTTATCACAATGATTCTCATTTGAAGGTGCTAGAATCTGTTTATATCACACACAGCAACCCAAGCAGAAGCAGAACATTGCCCCGTTGTATTTGTATAAGTCACACCTGGATCTTCTCCATAATGTGTGAACCTATACTAGTGTGTGTGTGTGTGTGTGTGTGTTTGTGTGTGTGTGTGTGTGTGTGTGTGTATGTGTGTGTGTGTGTGTGTGTGTGTGTGTGTGTGTGTGTGTGTGTGTGTGTGTGTGTGTGTGTGAGTGTGTGTATGTACCGTATTTCCTCGATTAATAGACCCGGTCTTTTGTTTTTTGAAGAGGGTTGGACCCCCGGTCTCTTATTTGGGCATGGTCCATTATTTGAGCACGGTCCACTATATTTTCATCGGCACATCGCTGGAAATGGTGGATTTTTAACACGTCATAATATAGAACTTTAACACGTCATAATATAGAAGTTCTATATTATGACGTGTTAAAAATCCACCATTTCCAGCGATGTGCCGATGAAAATATAGTGGACTGTGCTCAAATAATGAAAGAAAGCACTAGCCACTACGAAAATTGTAGTTGCGCAACCTAAAATCGCGTCCTTTTTTGATCCACCACGTGCTTTCTTAGTGCGCATGCGCAAAACGATGAACTCAAATAAGAGACCGGGTCTCTTATTCGAGGATGGTCTACTATTTTTCCGTGAGGCCTCTAGGAGGGTCTACTATTTGAGCATGGTCTATTATTCGAGCATGGTCCATTAATCGAGGAAATACGGTATGTGTGTGTGTGTGTGTGTTTCGCTTGGCCACGTGCTATTCATTTTGCCGGCTCCCGCCTTACTGCTTTCACACCTGCAGTAGCTTTATTTTCTGCTACCATGAGCTGCTTCGTTCATTCTCTATTATCTACCAGAAGTAGTTACTGATAAGTTCGGGTAAAACGTTTCTGTCAAAACAAATCGGTGTCCGTTGGTTCTCCATGTGTTTTGTTTCTATCAGTAATTGCTATCTTGCATCCGACTAGTAGAATAATTACAAGTACTTTGCAAATAATCACAGTAAACACGAGAACAAGGGAGAGCACGCCAGGCATGTGCTTTAAGACATGAGAATATGATGAAGTAAATATCACGTTTTTGAACTACTGAAATTTCTTCGTTGGAACAATTTTCCGTAGGACTAAGTGATTCGTGTTTTGAACAGTACATAACCCTCCAGGAATGTGAAACTCCAGCGATTTACGATGTTTGTACGGGGAGTCAACACCCACACAGACCCCCCCCCCCCTCTCTCTCCGATATGAACGCAGCTTGCTATGCTGGGCGACGCAAATCACTTGCATGTGCATGAACTTGTAGTGTTGGTACACTTGGGATTTTCGCTCAAACCCACATGTGGTGGTAGTTGCGGCGGCAAGAGTGGATTCCGAGTCATGGAGGTGGAATGTATGTGGCGAAAAATGGGGTATGGAGATAGATACACAGAGACCTTTGATCTACTTCTTGGAAGAACATGCATTTTCAAACCTACAACGTACCGCCATCTGTCATGAGGGTAGTGATCGGGACTTCGGGGTTGTGCTCTTTTACTGCACCAAGGAAAGCAGTGAGGGTTGCCTCATCCTCCCTGTCCGAAATGCACCACGCCACGGTTCTCCCTGAGAACAAGAAACACATATACATGAAATAATCAGGGTACGATCGACTAACATGAATATGAATACAAGACCCTTCGCAGGTTAGGTTATGCAGCAGATCTACAAACTGCACCTCACAATTTGCTTGCAAGTTTGCTCATATACCAAGCAACAACAGCCAATGCAGAATCTCAGCAGCTACCGTGCTGACTTCTACGGTGTGGAATTACAGATCTGAAATCGCCGTACCACAGGACAAATACAAAGAAAATGATACAGAAGTTCAGATCACATACCAGTAGGCCCTTGGCACGAGCTGAACGTGCGCTTACTAAGCCCTACAACGTTGTTCTCAAATACTAATGGTGGAGGTGACTCCACATTTTCTCAAAAACTACTCAATAATAAAACTAACCATATCCATAATTATCCACAACCATCAGTGTTATGAGCTTGAATTGGTACATGTTGGTACCGTGGGTTGCGTCGCAGCAGATGATTTTCGATGCATGCGCCTTGTAGAGCTCTTGCTGGTGGGCAGTCTGCAGTACAAGGACAAAAGTGTCCTTTCGCAAATAGGGCCATGCCTCCGACAATAGATCTTGGTACTTTATGCCAAGGCACGGCGACTGGCCAGTGCCTTGGCTCCATTCTTCGATGAGAAGACGGACAGCAGTTTGGTCATTCGCGTGCCGCATGCTTCCTAGTAGTTCCGACCCACGGGCAATATTCCTAATCTCCTTTCGAGAGAGAAGAATCCGTCTGGTCAAGGCAGCTTCAGCTTCACCGGCATACTCTTGACGGATATCTACATGCAAAAGGCATAGAGGGAAGATCCTTACAAAGATGTTCATGCACCCTGTCCAAAAGTGGAAATGTAGCGTAACGGCTAGTATGAAGCTGCCATGATTAGGTACTTGTATTGGATAAACTTATGGTGAAAATAGCAAACTGTCACTGCATGATTAATAGGGATATTCACAGTTTCCTAATGGTTGAATTGTTCTGTAAAACTTGAGCGCATACACAGTTTTAACGAATGAGATTTTGTAACGGCGAATGGTGTCATGTGGTGATAAATGGATATCTGGTGAAGCCCCACGTCAACTGGCCTTTTAACGTTCTTGTGTTTGCTTGTGTGCTTGTGTGTGCCGTCTTTGTTCACTACTTTTGCTCTCCACTGTGGAGTGCAGCCTTGCTGGTGGAATCTACTGCATTAGAAAGAACCCCGAGATTGAACAGAGGACACATAGAACTTCCATTCATGTAACCTGGTAACCATCACTAGAAAATTCCAAAATACCCAATCTGTGTACCTTTTAATATCCTCTCTATTTGTACGCCCATTGCCAGCTTCCGGACTATTTCACTCCGCGTAGATGCTGGAATGGGCAAATACCGCAGCTGGTCCTCTCCGACGTTATGCCCACAGTGAGTTGATACGTAGTGCACGGCCAGACCCCCTGGGTAACAACAAGATCACAATGCAGAAGATACATCATGCAACATGGCTCACCAATAGAATACAATTTCCTGCAGCATGCATGTATGCATGCGTGCGTGAAGACAGGGCAAATAGATAAATCAGACATACAACATGGCTGGCATCAGTTTGAACATAGCAGGGCATGGATTGAGGTACTCTGCTTTCACCAGGGTCAGATATTTCCTGCTTTTAAAAATCTGACTTGCAGGTACAGTGCTAAGAGGAACACGTTCTCCACGTTTGTGGGCAAGTACGAAATTATAATGGTGAACATCCTATACCGTGCTCCTGGATCCTTACCATCTTTTCCTAGCCGCACTATCAACCTTGAGATGCATGTCACGCCAAGTTTACGGCTCCCTTTGACTTGATCTGGAGGCTGGTGTGCGCGGGATGCCCCGCTCCTGTTGCACACATACGTGCGAGTCCCTGGGAAAGAAATGGATAAACACATAGTAAAGAGAAGGCATGTGAAGGTTCTAGTTAGTATGAGGAAGATTAGTGAAATCCATCCCGAGTACAAAACTGTCTCAAGCAAGTGACATGCAAAGAACACAATACCATAGTGAACACTTCCTGAAACTGTATCCGGGCTTTATGCAAAAACACACAGCACAGACACATTCGATAGGTCTCTATGGTGTCCATCGGCTAATATTGATAGCTGTGTTTTAAAGGGGAAGTCCGGTGAAATTTTAAATTTCAGGGTCCGTAGATATTTGGGCGCAGAGTCGAATGGGGTTGGTCCCATGTGTCTCTGACAAAGTGTTCTCGAGATACTTCCGTTTGAAAAAACTGAGTTTCGGGGGCTGCGCCATGACGCCATGCGGCCGTGCCACACCCTCTGCAGCGTCTTAGCGTGCAGCTAGGTGAAAAGGAGTGTGTGAAAGCAATAGTGTTAATGCTATTTCGAATGATTTGGTGACGGACAGTACGTGATGCAAGCGACCACGAAGAAAAAACTCCATGTGAGAGTGAGGATGCAGGTATGGCTGACCTGCACGAGTTTGGTCTGAAGCTGAGCACCTCGGTATTCTGCTGAAGAAATGGCCACGAGGGCCGGTCAAGAGTGAGCGCTGACGCGTTAGCGACAGATGAAGAAGCAGCAGCTAATGCAGACGAGGCTGATATAATTATCAGATCTCTGGAGAGCAGAGCGGGCAATGTGAAGAAGAGTGATGCGAGTGCTCTAAATGTTGTTTGATTCCGACTCGCTTGGACTCCATTGGCCTGAAAAACATCGTGCCGGATTTTTTTGGTGCGAACTTGGCATAGTTCAGACGCTGCTCGATTGGCGAACAGTGTAGGCTCTTTGAACCACGGGCACGACCCTCTTCGATTCAAGGCTCACTATGGGACCTGAAAATGTAAGGTCCGGGAACTGTTCGCTGTTCTGTCACTTGTCACGGTTGTGGCATGCATGTGGCTGGACTATTCAATGCGGAAATCTGTCTTGTATCAGGCGGCTCACGCGTAGCATGACAGTGCGCTGCGGGAGCATGAGAGTAGTCATGTACTGCTCCTTGTGATGAGTTCGCTGAATAGCACATGCGCAAGGCCAGAGGACGCCAAAACTCGGAAACGGCTCAAGATGGGATAACCTCAAGATTTGCTGAACTGAAAATCTCGAGTAACGTAGTGTTTGTGACACTGAGTCGAATAGTCTTGGTCTGAAGAAGCTGCGACAAACGGTTCCCCAATCGAAAGAGGTCTGAACGATGGCCCATTTTGTACATAAATAGATGGTGTTGATACTTGGCTGCCTGCTGTAACGTCATCACCTGGATCTGGGTGACTGCACGCTCAAATTCGCACATGTTCGATTGGGCATATCTGACGAACCACGGACCGCACCCTCCTCGGACAAAGACCATTTGACTTAGCGCCCCAACTCTACGGACCCTGAAATTAAATTGTCACCGGACTTCCCTATACGACTCAATGGGGAAGAGCTAGCCAACGAAATACCCAATGCCTCCCAGACTGAGAAGACTGCGTCAATTGTGTGTAGATGCACAAGAAAACCCACTTGACACGTTGGTGAGTGGGCTCCCTAACATGTTCCACATTTCTACGCATAAATCTTTATTGTAATCAAGTTATCGTATCGCTTGGGTAATTAATCAAGTTATCGCCCATCTCCCGAGCCACACACATATCCAGGCACAATACTGTTTGGGGTTGGGCGCTTGTATTAGAACGCCTGCCACAACCGCGTGACAGGCGTATAGACATCATTGGCAAACGTGCATATCACGAGGTAATTGCTGCTCAAAAAAACAAAAAAAAACAAAAAACAAAGAAAAAAACCTCAAAGGGCGCAAGGGCAAAGAGTTGCTGCTGTGCCAACAAGCAGGAGACAAGAGTGCCCTCAACCTCCTTGGTCCCGCGTGCGATCGCCCCATACTGAGAGGGGCAGCCAGGGCGGCTGTGCGTACAGCCCCCAAGGTTGCCGGGCCGCCTCGGCCGCGTGGCCGGCTTGCTCGGTCCACGGCGATAACTACGGTTTGCCCTACTGCAAACCTACATTTATCGCATCGCTTGGGTAATTTTCCGAGACGCCAGCTGAGAGTTTTTTTCTGGCTGAGAATTGACAAGTTAAGATAGTAATTTTTTTTGGAAATTGATGAATTTATGAAGCATCTGTGTTCAACAAATGTATGATCCATCGGTAATGGGTGAACAGCCTCCCCGGATCTATTCTGTTCTTTTTCGCATACTGTAAAAGCCATAATTATAACGAAGTGCTAACTCTAACGAGTTAGCGAGGACAAATCTGTCGTTAAAATAGAAATCGTTATACAGAAATCGATACATATACTGTCCTATTGAGCGTTGAGAATGAGTGAGAATCGTTACCTTTGGTACACGTAAACTAGTCAATTTTGGGAAATCGTTATATATGCGCCTCGTTAGAATAATGGCTTTTACAGTAGTAGTTCTTGCTTGTTTTATGATGTATCATTCATATCGTGGGTTGCGAGACTAAACGACCCGCAAAAAATAGCAATCAACACAAAACTCATTCATATGGGAACGGGCCTTTATGTGCGTCACTACCGTAGCTACGTGATGTATTATTATATCATTACATTGTTACATTGTACTGTTGAGATACCTAATTCAAATAAATCAATACCAATGCCAATACCAATTACACTCAGTTTCCAGAGAGCAAAGTTTTCGCTAGTGCTCTTCGTCACTCATGATCTGACGTCAAAATCACGGCCCACCTAGGCATGCACGGTCCCAGTATCTCATATCAAAATTTTAATGTCACTAGTTGTCATGTGGGAAAAAAGTGCTGAACACATTCATTCACTAATTATGTCGCAACTAACTTCCAAACAGCACAAGAGAAGAGAATACAGAAGCCGTGACTTACTTACCGGATACGTACGTGCCACGAGGTGCGATGAAGTGCGTCCCCGTCGCAACCTCTTCGCTATCCTTCCACACCTTAAATTCTTGCTCTGTGGCAAAAGTTAAATCTTCCGTCTCTGAAGAAATGTAACACATGTGAATGAAACCAGTCGAACATGTATCTGTTTTCACATACTAACAGACAACTTAACTCTCTACAACATAACTGAAAGACTTGGCCAAAAAATTGTTTTCAAATTGATTTAGAGGGAAACGTTAGAAATTTCTGCCTGTTTCTGGTAGTTTGTCCCTTACGCAGCAGGGGTGGGGGGGGGGGGGGGGGGGAGCATAAATTGGTAAAGACACGACCTTAATTCCTGTACTTTCTACTCTGTTTAATCATTACTTGAAGAAAACTGACCTATCGTTTGGTGGTGCACATGATCATAGTGTTGCACTAACGTAGCCACGCGACTGAAGGTCATATCGCATAGCAGACAGCACTGATTCCGATCCGTGTCCTTAGGCTCGGCGTGGTGCTTCTGGATGTGACGTTTCAATGATCGCTCATTAGCACATTTTGTGGCACATTCCTCACATGCCTAGGAACAGAACAACATTCAAATTCAGTACAATAGTTAAGGTTGAGGCTTTGAGCTGGTTGAAGAGTAGGGTGAAGTGATTACTGTATACCGTAATCAGACAAACATCGCATCGATATGGACATGTGCAAGTACACATATTCTTGGTGAATGCCAGTACAACGGTGAATGCCAGTACAACGGAACCATGATGATCCTTGTGTGATTTTGTGATTTTCATTCTCTTATAAGACCATGGAGTGGAGGTGGTCTTATATTCGAATATTGAACCATGGTCTTATACGCAGGAGGTTACGGTAACGTGAAATCTAAGGTGTATTAACTTTCGGTGTCTGTGACCTGCCCGGTTCTACGTGTAATATAGAAGTAGGTGATCAGTACTACCTTAACATACAGTGCATACTTTGGTGCCTTTTAGGTATAATCCAAATTTAGGTGGCTGTTTCTCTACCCAAATTACCAAAACTAAAGTTACCGGTACACCAAAAATATCGTGTTACACAGTATACGGAATACTCGCAATTGTAAATAGGTACAAGCAATTATTCCCGAAGCTATGCAAAGACGTCTGGCGCTAGCCAGGGTCCACACAGCTTTAATTCCGTGTGTGTGTTTGTGCCGTCGGCATGCCCGGCGCTATCCCGTACCTGTCCCGTACCATCAAGACAGCTGGCCACAATATTCAAAGAGGGCTTTCAAATGCAAGATCATAGCGTGAAGCAACTTGGAAGAATGAATATGTATGCGAAGTGCATCAGGGGAATGCATGCAGGGCATTAGGGCTTGAAAGTGCTACATCACAGCATAGCAACAATTTCAAAAATTCAAAAACTGAATCCACTTGAATCCAGTTTTTGTATGGATCCAAGCACTTTTCAAGCGGTCTTACTCACAGCAAGGTGATGTAGCCGGTGAAATTGACTGGATTGGCTAATGGGGGTGGGGTAAGAACTGGTGGCAAAGAAAAAAACACATACCGTATTTCCGCAAATAGTAGGCCGGTCTACTATTTTTTCAAACTCGTCCTAACCCGGCCTTATAATTGAGGACGGTCTTGTATTCGAGGACGGTCTTTTATTCTTTCAACCCAGTTTGACCCCGGTCTTCTATTTTTCGCCACACAGTTTTACCCCCGTTCTTCCATTTTCTTCTACACAGTTTGAGCACGGTCTACCATGGCAGGTACAGTTCCTACGTACGTCGTAAGACTCATTTAGTAGACCCGGTCTTCTACAGTCAGACCTCACTTATCCGGTCCTCGTTTATCCGGAAGAAAATTGTTGGTCACCGATTTACAGCATTATGCCATGCACACATACAGTATGTGTGTTCGATTATCCGGTTCCCTCGCCTATCCGGATATTTTTGTGGAAAACGGATGTGTGCGGTTAAGCGAGGTCTGACTGTATTCGGAGACGGTCTTGTATTTTTTCAATCGCCCCCTGCCCCGGCCTTGTATTCGAGGAAGGCGTTGTATACGAGGACGGTCTTCTATTTGCGGAAATACGGTACCGAGGCAATAGCAAAGTCACACCTTAGTGGATCCAAAATAGAAATCTGATGTGAACTTAGTACACCCTGGCCGTTTTTGACGTCATCACTTTGAAGCCCTATAGTGCGGGTTCGAATCCTAGGTTATGTCTTGGAAAAAAAATAGGAGAAATGAAGAATTTATAACATCCCTATGCTTTTTTTGCCTAGGTCATCAAGGTGGTAGACGGAGTCGTATTACCCTCGAATGCAAAGAGAAAGTTTATTTCTTTCGCTCAGGGCCCTACGCTATGCTTTTTTGCCTAGCTCATCACGCATGTTATTTGAATGTACATGAAGCCATAAAAATACCATGTCTGCACTCGGTATTCAGTGGTAGTAGTGTTCGAAAGAATGTTTGACTTCGAAGTCTGGCCATAAGTAAGGAAAAAATAGTGAGTACAAGGACAAGGTCAGCAAAACATCCCGAAGACCAAAGGTGAGTGGGTATGTATCAGGGAGTAGTAAAATACAGGGAGGTGACACGAGCATGTACGGCCAGTTTGACGATTGCCTCAGCACCGTTTTCACCCGGCGGGTGAGATTGGGGTACTATGGGTACCGAAGTGTGTAGACACGCGCGCGGATCAGGATTCTCTCGATCAGGGAGTAGTAAAATACCTACCGCCAAAGAGACTCCTACTGCAGCCCGTAGAAACTCAGCGCTGAGAATTTCCAACAATTGTCTGCCTTCACAAAGTTTGGTAGTCGACCAAACTACCACTATGTCAGGATAGAAGTCCAGCAAGAGTGGTATCACTTTGCGAGATATCCCTGCGTGCCGTAGATTTTTCCTGTGTCGATACAAGCTGTTTACGACGACGTAGCCCGCATTTCAATCCTTGACAAACTTAGGAACATTTCATTCCGAAAAGTGAACTCCCGAATCTCTAGCATACCATAATATGAAATGCTCATCATCACAAAGAAGGTAGAGAAGTACTGGTTGATCACAACTGAGGAGAAATTAGGGGCGATCGTGTGGTGTCCTAGAGATTTTTTCGACTTCAAAATCTGTGCACTCGCTTTTCATCTCCAATCGTACACGTATTGTTCTCAAGGAAATCACCTTCCTTCTATTGCTCCATGCCGTCGATCGGGACGATTTTCGGAAGGGTGGTACCTTTCCATATGACGATGACACAGATGTATCACAAGAGCAAAACAAATGCTGTTCCATGAGATGGATAGACCTTTTCACGGAATTAGTTCTTCGACAAATACTCAAGATTGATTCAGCAGATCATCTTTTTTTGCGAAAGAAAAAAAAACAAGCGCGAGGCACCCATCAAAAATCACGATTAGTGGCGTGTCACCTCCCTGTATTTTACTACTCCCTGGTATGTATTCACTGGTCAAGAGTGCAAATGCTTAGAGACATGTATCAAGGGGACAAGATCAATCACATTTGCAGCTTTTTGTGATGATTTAAAAGTTAGTAATTCATGCTGCATGGAACTGCAAGGGGCCGCGCTTGTCTATTGCCTTGACGAGATTTTCTAACTCTGCTTTACCTAGGGTTTGTTTGGTTGGTACGATTTAGAACAGGATCGTACAGCTCGTGCACATGGAGCAGCCTCATGCCAACCAAACGGTACTCCAGAAACAGACCACACCAAGCCAAGCCCAACCCAAAATCGTATGGACATTATCATTCGGGACCAAAATCAGTGTTCCCGCCAGGTTTCACTGTGAAAACGTTAAAACGAGAAAAAGTGAAACTGCTCGGTCTACTCTGGAGGCCGGAGCAAGCAGAACATGTTCTGGCTGACCCAGAACAGGTGCAGTCCCAACCAACCAAACGTGCTCTTCTGCCGTGAATCCTGTTCTAGGTTGTACCAACCAAACGCACCCCTAAGTCTCTAATAGTGTAACTAGTTACTAAAATTGGATTTGACATGACATAGCTCAATGAAAGCAACTTACAAAGGATTTTTCTTGCCCATCCGGTTGGTAAGGCTTGAACTTGAAGGAAGACATTGTTGCACAGGGACCAGGTTTCTTGGTAAAACTCCACACTCAAATGAAGAAAAACAAGCCTCGATGCTGTATGCCTCCCAAAGTGTTGGCAAGATGTTACCTCAGCAAGGAAAAAAAGACACACTGCTTGAAGCAAGTAAAGATGAAATGGGCTATCTGCAAGAAGGGGCGCCTGGTTTTATGCTCATGCAAGTCAGCTAGGAGTTGAAAGAGCTACCCTCAAAGCAGGTGGGATTCTCCTACACATTATCCCCATGGAATCCCTCCAGATTGGAAATATGGTGGTGTGCATTGTTCAGGAAGACATTGCTAGTTTCTGTTGTGCATAGTCATTCAGTATGACTTCTGATATAGCACAGCCACAGTACTCCATGTAGCTTCTAAATGTAGGTGTTTGGACGAGGAAGGAGAGTTGGTTAGAGGTAGTTTCCTGCCATATTGAATACTTCTGCAATATTGACTAGTTTCTACCTTTGTGCATTGACGTGCCTCAGATGGCGATCACCCAGTGATTGTCTGTGGTTTTTCTTTGTTAGCCGTGCAGCGGAATTGTTCACTGTATTGTTTATTCCAATTGTTTCCTTTCGTCTGTGTTTGGCTCCTGATGTGCTGCCTATGTGCTTTCAACCTACCACAAGAATCGCTGCGCTCCCATTATTCCATCAGATGTGATGAAGCATTCTTGCAGTTGTTGCTAGAGTCGGTGTTAGTACTGTTACGTTTGCTTATTTTCCTAGAACTTACCGCTTCTCAGTGCGCCCATACGAGTGTTTTCTCCTCGTTCTCTGCATCCTTTACCCAAGGAGTCTCGTCCATTAGGCTCAAATGCTTGAGCACAAGCTCCGGAAAATAGCTTGTCGTCCATTAGCGGCTCTAATAGTACCTGGACTGAAGTGTCGCAGTCTAGCAACTATGATTTTCTTCCAGGAGGCTGAAAATCCAAGGAGACCCTAAGCTTCGTCGATCAAACAAAACAATCGCCATAAAAAATGGAAGAGGAAACGAGTGAGCGAGCTGGTCTGAGCGCGCTACTTTTCAAAAAATCAAAGTCAGTCAAAGCATTCTGGCTAGCGCGTTTGTGTATGTCACGAGCGCTAGCGCGCTAGTCGCAGCAAACGCTCGCCGGCGCCAGGCCAGAGTTAGCGCTGTTTGCCGCACGCGGCAGCTGGATGGATCACGTGATCCAAGCTGACGAATAAGGTCCGATGGTTCAGCTACATTGAGCCACAAGCGATCCAGAGACCTTCGGGAGGGCTTCTTTTCTCGACCAAATTCCACCGTGAGAACAAATATTTTTACGCGAGTGGTGAGGTGTGCATCGGACGAGTTAGCACAAAAGTACGATTTCGGGTGGAGTGAGGAAAAATAATTTATTTTTTAGAAGATAACGACGTTGACGACAATATGGATTTGGGGTTTTGTGATCACTTTATTGAAGTTTATTCCTTTCGTGTACATTGATGTTGTTTGACAACAATGGAAGAGGAGGAAGACGTTTCTAGTGGCAGCGAGGTGCCGGATGGGGCAGCTGACGGCAACGAAGTGGCAAATGACAGCCCAGCGGAGTAATATTGCTGGAATTTGTGTCTGTGTGACAGCACCCAATTTAGTAGAAACGAGAAGCCTGCAGCGAGTAATATCGAGACTACAAGTTGGCGTCGCATCGTCAGCGCTGTTCGAGAGAAGGACGACCATGTCTGGGATTTTCTCTGCCAGCACAAGGGCTCAGGGAAGAGCAAATGGTGTGGGTGGTATCATGGAAAGTGCTACACCAATTGCATGCATGTGATCCTGAGCATTTGCAACACTGGAGAAGACCAGTGCCTCTGATTTTGCTTTATCTATACTTACTGACAGTGATGTGCATGTAGTAGTGAACCCAGAGCCACATCCTTAGGCCAACAAGGGGCTACCTACCAGGAGCTTAGTGGCTGATACGAACAACGAATGCCATGAAAGCAGAGCACGGTGTCAACACAACACCGAGAACTGGTCCACCCAGAGTTTACGGAAGGGAATGTTTTGTTGCAGGCAGCACTGGAGAGGGCAAGACGACAAGTAGCGAGGGCGAAACCAGCGCTGCTGGAGGTCCAAGCCAGAGCACCTGGCTGCTTGACGAGGAACATACTATACCATTGTCTGTGTATGTGTGCCAGTGTGTGCATGCGTGTGTGCGTGCACGTTTCTGTGTGTGCGCGCGCGTGCATGTGTGTGTGCTCGTGCGTACATGTGTGTGTGTGTGTGCGCGCGCGCGCGCGGGTGCATGTGTGTGCGTGCTAGGCGCTTGCCTTTGTTGGTGACACCACCCCAGGCTACAACTGCGGGCCGGATGGTGGGTGTCGGGGCACGGTGTTGCCACAATCACTGTGGTCAGTGTGATCCGTGTTTCAGGTCAGTGGTGGGTTTTAGCTCACTGCAGCGAAAGCGATCATGTTGCAAGTCAACCCGAGGGTTCCAGCCGCACAACTGCAACAAATGGATTCAAGAAAAGTCTAGATCTCGCTAGGACGTTGATGCGAGCAGCGCCTCAGCCAAACTCTCCATGTCTGTCGGCCCCTCACACGAGGGGACATGTAACCGGAAACGGCAATGTTCAGGACAGGACAAGACAGGAAGTGTGTTCCGGCCGCGGGACATGCTGGTGTTGCTGGTTTTGCAGCAGAGGAGCTTTGGCCGACCACACGTGCATCCCTAGATTGCCTTCACTCCCATCCGCTACTGGACTCTGCCTCGGTGATCAGGCAGGCACCAGGGACATCTGCTTTTCCTTCGTTCGGTCGCTGTCCGTCTTGTGAAGAGAGATCAATTTACAACTGACGGCAGCAGGACCACAACAGACAACGGGCATCGGTCATTTTGCACTCACTGAGGTGGGTCCTCCTCCTGATCCGGCGTCCTCCTGGAGTCTGTTCTTCTCCCATTGCCATTGGGGTTGCGTGCCTGGGAGACTGCATAGTCGGATTCGGCAGCTGGTCCATGTGTGTGTGTGTGTGCGCGTGCACGCGTGCCTGGGAGACTGCATAATCGGATTCGGCAGCTGGTTCATGTGTATGTGCGCACGCGCGCGCGCGCGTGTGTGGATGTGCACGCATGCCTGAGAGACTGTATAGTTGGATTCGGCAGCTGGTTCGTGTGTGTGCCCATGCGCGCGTGTCTGGGAGACTGCATAGTCGGATTCGGCAGCTGCTTCATGTGTGTGTGTGTGTGTGTGTGCTCGCATGCGCACGCGTGTGGGTGTGGGTGCGCGCGTATACGTGTATGTATGTATGTGGCATCATCTTATATCGGTAGTTATCTGTGTATTACTGTGTACTGCGGTGGACTGCGATAGCACACATTATGTGCCAAGATGTGCACCTAGCTGGTGATTTCCAACTGTGTTATGTTGAGTGGAAAATGAGCAATGACAGATAGTTTTCGGTACTGTATGAGTGTGTTAGGCAATCAATAGCCAATTCCAACCTCTTGCATTGGCTGTCAGGTTGGATAGGATCAGCGCGTGCATTTACAACAGTGGTGACGTACTTCCTATTGTACTACCGTAATGTCACATTAGCTTCAGTGTTCATATCATTCTATACTGGAGTATTCTACGTACATGTATTCAGTAATGGAGTGGTTATTATAAATATACTTCACTCACCAATTCATTGCTCGCTATTATCTACAAGTCCAATTCCAGTATGATGAAGTCAAGAAGCGATTTATCCAGCCAAGTAGAGGAACTTGGGATACGAAATCCAAGAGAAATCATAAGGGTATTCTCAGTTCAGCCATTCACGAATGTAATTGTTATTCTTCAACGCAAACTGAGTAATATTTGACCTTGAACAGGATGAAAAGAAGTTCATGCTCGGGGCAGAGTCCGCCATTCGCTCCAGAAGGTTACTCACTACAGTCTTCTACGCCTAGGAAGTGGTGAACAAATATCTCGAGAGGTATTTAGGACATTCTTTGAAGTCAGTTTAGTTCTGAACGAATGCATTGTAACTTTGCTGCAGTTTGCATGCATGATCCGGATTGATAATTCTCAGCGGTAAAAAAAATTCAAATCTAGTTTTGTGCACTGGTTTCCGCGTTATGTGCACTCGTGGAATCTGCTCATGGCTTTAAAAAATGAGAATCCGTGAACAAGCGCAAAAAAATCAAGTGAAGAAGGCGAAAATGGCCGCTGCTGTCAGTGAGCAAAGTTGGATGTTTGGCGTCTTCTGTGACCTCCCTGGATCAGTTTCGAATTGTCCAACAAGTGGTAATCGCTTCAGGATACCATCCTGAAGCGGTGTGCTGAAGGACGATTTGTCCCTCTCTGGGTGCAACGGTCGATGCTAAAACAGCCGATTCTGAGATTTGGCTCACGGACTACTAGGCCCTCACCAGGACTTCAGCGGTCTGGCCACCACCACGTGCTGAGCACGTGTGCTGTTCACGTACTTGCTTCACGCGGCCGCATGCCACATTCGGCCAGGCAACGCTGGCCGGTGGTGCTGCTAGTCTTTACTGTATAAAGGGAGTTCAGGCAAAAAAATCAAATTCAGAATTCCCAGTAAAATTCTGTTGGAAATCGAATAAGCACGTCTTTCAAGAGCACACAGAAAATTTCATGTGAAAATCTCAAAGCAAACCTGAGATACAGTCATTTCAATTGTGGTGCCAATCATCATAGAATAGACCGATCCCCTTATTATACTGGGTTCGAGCACGGGGCGGGCAACCTCACTCGCGATCGAGCTAGATTTTGAACGTGACAGCATCTTTGACAGTGTGTTTCAGGTTTGTTTTGGAATGTCTTCTGCTTAGTTCAAGTAGTTTGCGATGGCTTCGAGCGGTGCTAAACCTCCTGCTGGTAGGAGCAGAGTCTCCGAGAGAGACATGGACTGTGATGCCGCTGCAGGATTTTTTCAAGGCGCAGGAGGGAACGATCTCGGGCCACAAACAGGAGTTACTCCAGAGGTGAGTTTTTTTGTTGTTGAAATATTCGAATCGCGAATCGTGTTGTGAGATTTATTTTGTGCCTACCTAGGCTACAGTAGACCATATTTCTTTCTCCTTGCGATCGGTGCTGAAGATAATAGTAACCTTTTTCTGGTCTGTCTTTTCCTCTCCAGAGCCATCTTCTATGAAGGTAACCGTGGTGCTGCCAAGTCACCAAGTCGCGATCAGCAGCCCTGAAGTGGAAAAATCGATTTTCCAACGATCTGCTTGGACATCAGCCACTAAAGTACTTCTGATTTGCCTGTAGTGACAACAGCAGCCATCCTTGGACACCTTGCAAAGACAGGAAAAGCCACTGGTGGAAGCGACTGCTATGAGGTGACGATAGCAGTTCAGTGGTGATCGCTGTTTTGTCAAGTCGAAGGGCTAGCCAACCCAGAGGAAGCATAAAAAAAACGATGAGCAGTGCGTGGTATTTGTTGAGCGTGAAGAGCTAGAGGAGGACAGTGCAAACACATGGACGGAGTGGATGGTGTTTGAAGAACAGTGTGCTGTGTGCCGGCTGGTGGTGATGGTGGTCTTTGTCAGCATGTATTCGTGCTGCTTCTTGTGCTGGAACACTTCTCGCCCTGGAAGGCAGATTGCGTGCTCCCTGGCCCTCAGTTGGCAATGGGGCATTTGTTCCAGGAACATTACCCCAGAGCCAATGATGAGTCGTACCTTTGAAAAGTCTAAGCTTGCTGTTAATCGCAAGCGTAGCGCAGTGGATTGCTCCCTCTTCGAAGCACGAGGGCTGAAGCTTGCCGCTGTCTGCAGCAAAGTGTGTGTGCGGTTCTTTCGAACCTATGAATATACCCCCTGCATGTTCAGAGTGAACTATTTTCTAGTATATTTAACATCCTCAACCCGCCACCACCATGCGCTCTTGGCCGAACTAATGCACGAAGCATAAACACACCAGCACAGCAAGGACACTTCCGTTGACAGATATTGTTTACGCCTCTAGACCGCTGTTTCTTTTCTTCGAGCTCATCGTTAGAGGAGGATAGTAGCA